GCAGTAATTCACCTAGAACAAAGAAGTCTGGGTCTCTCCAGAGGAAGTGGTCAGTCTAAGGATATACCGAGACCAAACGCTTTCCAACCTGGCAAAGTATAATTGATATCTTTTTCCGTAAATGGGGAGAGGGGTGTTCGCAGGGTTTTCTTTTGTTTACAAAGACATCTAGGCATCGTCTGAGGGTTTAGCATATATTGGACATCCGCCTTGTCAGTTCTCGGTCGTTATGAACGCTGGACTGTAAAGGTAGAAACGTAAACTGAGATTGATTATTCAAGTTAGGTCCCTAGACTTTTCCTCGGACAAGGCAGTTTTAGTTTAGCATGTCAATATAGCGAGCACCTTGAGTATTTTTGTCAACAGAGGGAATTGAGACTAGAATGTCCACCTGTGGCTTATCTGCTGTTCTCACCAAGGCAAGCCTAACGCCAAACAGGTGCCTACAATGTACACCCAACTCATTACTATTATCTCGGGAATATTAAGGCCGAACACTACCGCGTGCGCTAAGAACTTACATTCTGAGAAGAAACAGATGCAATCACTGGGATGAGAACCTACCTCCTGCCGATTTCGATCAATGTCTGACCTAATTACGACCATCTGGTGTCTAATCCCATGTCTCCGACCACAGAAATTGTGTGTAAGCCTTCTTCGTATCCCCCTCGAAACTCGACCTTAACGTCTCACAGGAGGCTGTCAGCAGGGGGACCGCTGAAATCCTAAAATGGCACTGCTGATCGCGACGCGGAGGTTGTTCCTTGCCCCATCTTTGTTGGTGTAGCCAGGTCCGCTGCAGAAAATTATCGCTCATGGGCAAATGCTGGGCTGAGGCTGGATAGATCCTGCTTGATCAGAGCAGCATCTAATGCTAGCAAAATTGAGATCCATGACAGTGCGAGAACGATTTCAACTACCCGTCCGATAAAACGAGGAAGTCTACCCGGAGGCTTTAATAACTGTGCGCCGATCTTGTGCTGCAAAGAGTGTCGATTTATTTAACTTCTCGTCAATCGTACACCGGTCAGCTTAGAACAACCCGAAGTGCACTCGTCAACCAAGTTAGATAAATTGCTCTTTTTCGGCCACTAAGGACAGCCTTCCTTCCTGGATGTTAAAATTCAGGGCATTTTCAGATGCACCATTTATTGATTGGGCTAACCACGGCAACGAATGATTGTACAACCTTACTAACAAAAGCAATTGCTAGGCAGGCGTGCACTCCGGGAACGGTTGCAAGGGGAGTAGGGCCGTTTAAAGGACAGGAAATAGCACTATCGCGTTGGCAATGAAAATAAGTGTATATGTCCACCGTGATCGTTCAAATGCGCTGGTTTGTTAGTGCTGCATTAGACCACATTATGTGCTTACCTACACGCTAGCCTTATCCATTGTGTTCGTTAGGGTTACTATGGTCGCGCATGCATTCGTTGCCCTAACCACAAATGCTAGTTTGGATGACTTTGGCGTCTACGACATTAGTCTTGTCTTTTCGCGGAGATTTCGCGCAGACTAGTTTCTCGATCCGGTCCAGTATATTGGTGTAACCTAAATCCGTGCAGCCCTATTGAATGATGGGCAATCCTCCTCGTGTCGTAATGCCGCTTCGGTTTGAAACTTCGTCAGTAACCGATGCGCCAGTGCCTGCTCAAACAGAACTAAGAATAATACTACTGCATGGTCCAAGAGCGTATTCGTAGGACTGTCTAATTCGCTTTTTGCTGTCACTGAAGATCGTTCCAGTATTCCCTACCGGTAGATTTCCCGTGTAATAAGTCCTTCCTGATCTCGGTAGTCATACCGTTTGCTCGCCACTGTTTCCATCAGTCATAATAGGATTTCTCTAACTAAAATGCACTGCCAATCGGATTGACGTTGCCCCTCGGAGTTGGCAGACTCCTGGAATGCATCCTTGTCATGGCAATCGAGGTTTTTATTCGGTGCTCGACTTCGCGTGCAATCCGTGCCTGATTTCCAGACGGCTTACTGTCATGTCGTCTGCATTGTCAAAAATACTGGCAGCTGTTATGCACTTAGGTCGAGCAACCGCCTCGTCGTGTGGACATCGTGGCGATTTTGTGCTATTGCTCAATGATTTTTTTAACCGAGCACTGACTGCAGGCCTGTTAAATCGATAGGTTGCTGCACTCGCGCACTGTCATCTCCGTCAGGCCGAGCAAACACTCGTAGTCGTCTGCCTTGGCCTTGTTTTCCCTTTATTTCGCCAATACGACGATCGTTTTGGTCATTTCGCAGCCAGGCCTGGTAATATTAAAAAGTAAGGTGTCTGAGCCCGTAGGTCTTGC